TTGATTTATTTACACACTTTAAAGCAAGGCCCATCTCTAAAACGTCTTGGTTTGATATTCCAAGCTAACAACGATGACATCGGTATCTGTAAGATTTGAAGAAATGACGGCAAGTCACCGGTTTGAATTACAGAGTGAAACCAAAGACGATGATCAACAATCAAGGAAATTGAGGAAATGTTCCTCTCGTAGCTGTTGTAGGAAGCCGAAAAGGGTTTATTTTAAGTCACTTAACCTGAAAAAAGCTTCTTCTACTAAAAAAATTTAAATAATCGTGGCAATGTAATTTAAATCTACCAGTCTTGGATCACAAATCTGATTGTCTATGCACAGTACTAGTGCTATGTTATATGCCAATTCCGTGATGGACAGTGAGTGAAGTGAATAGCCTGACAGTGTTCAGTTGTAACCTGTTCATACCACCACTAAATAAAAACTGTTAGCCTGCCTAGTTGTTGAGCTTTGAATGACTAGGGGATTTATATTTGACTATTTTAGGGAAATTTGTACCAGGCCTTTGATTCCTCTCATGCTGCATGCATTCTTCCTCATTTTTGTTTTGTTTTTGTTTTTTCATAAGGTTTGTGAATTTCTGTAACACATGCATGGTATATCAATCATTTAAGCATAAATACTAAGTATTTGAATCTTTATATTCTTTGTCATAGCATCTCGATATGCAGACATAAAAGCAATAAGAACCTCTCAGTTTGCTCGACAAGATTGTTGGCTGTAGGCTAGTGTATCAAATGAGCGCTGCACTACTGTGATTGTCGTTTAGTTTTTGCGACCCTGGTACCTAATTAGTAAAATCAATATTAATATGAATTTGGATCCATACGGAGGGTCCAAAGGTTGATTTTTAAAAATGTGATCCTAGATCCTTCAGATGTTGTTCAGATGTGTGTATTTTACATCATTGACATGGTAGAATGAAGCGTCAGTAAGAACAGAGTAATAACTGCTAACAAGACGTGAGACGAGAAGAGATGTGAAAACAGTGTAGGGGTCTGGACCTGGAGAAATGTTCATGTTGGGTAAACCTTTGACAATGCTGATTCAGACTTTGTGTCACTTCTCTTCTCTTATGATTGTTCCAATTCAGGGGTATTTGTCCAAGTTGGGCTTTCAATAGAAAATTCTGTCATTGATTTTTCCATGGTACCAAACAATTGAGTGCTCTCAGTAAGTTATGACTAAGGTTTGGTAATGACGAGCACCTGTGTATCTTTTGTGTGGCAGTCACCCTGGGAAACAAATCACCATCTGTTTCACTTGATCTTTTGTAAAGGTCAATGATAACCGTCCCATGAGAGTATTGGCTCTGCTTCACTCAGTTCAGACTTATGGATGACAGGTTTCATGGTGAGAAGCATTGGTGTCTAGAAATTTGTGTACTTTTATCAGTTGGGAGAAACTGTGTGAACTTGCACACATTATTTTCTTACTTTCACTGAAGTTCCATGATTCGAAATTAACGTTGAAACTTATTATTTTCATGTGCCAACTTCTTTATTGACGGGCTGTGATACAAATGTAGCCTTGGACTCCAGACTGTCTCTAGGAGTGTGAAAACTAAATTTGACTGCTCTCAATAGGAAGAAACAGTCAGTAAATTGGAAGAAACCTTCTAACTGAAATTTCTCTAACAAAGGCCTAGGTCTTCCAAACATTTTGAAAATGTGGGCTGCTGATCAGAGGATAGTAAATATAGGAAAAATAACTAGTTATTCACCGTTCGCAGTCCAGTACTATTGCCCCACATTAGAGAATCCAACACAGTATAGGATTCTGGATCCTATTCCTTAGTGGGATTTTGGATTTCTTGAGCTCTATTCTGGATTCCATGAAAAAATTTTCCTGGATTCCGCAATCCGGATACCCTTACATGGGGCGAAGTACTAGTCAAACATTTTCTGACCTGTTCATGCACATTTAATTACTGGGCAGTTGGAAATTTACTTTTCTACTGACGTGCGATTTTATAATGTGATGGATCGGAGCAACTTCTGGTCAATGCAGCTTTTTCAGACTGGACCACATTTTAAACTAGAAGAGGTTTGGTTCTGAAAAGATATTTTTTTTCCATCTCGACATAACAGACTTAACACGAATGTTCTGGGCAGAGGAAAATTAAATGAAGCTTGGAAAGGTATCCTTTACTAGCTGAACTAAATTTTGAACAATATATATCATTGGCAAAGGGAAAAAGGGAATTTGAATATAGTTTTGTTGGGAAAATGAAGCATATCCAGGGTGCAAAGAAAATCATTTTTACAGCTTGCCATTCGGGCAAGCTGAAGCTAGCATTTACTAGCCCAGACACCATTTCAACTAGCCCCAAAAGCTTTTTGACGAGCAGAATGATTTCACAGTTCTTCTGTTATTCGAATTCCTCAAAAAACATCACTTGCCCGTTGGGCAAGTTAAAAACAGAATTCACTAGCCTGATAGCAAAATCCACTAGGCCCTGGCTATCAGACACTACTTTCTTTGCACGCTGATATCTTACTTAAAAGTGGCAAGTATTTGAATAACTGAGGACTGAGGATGTTGTGACAGCAGCCGGAACTGTCATGCACTGCAAATTGAACATTTGACTAAATCTGAGTTGAAACCTTCAATTCTGAATCGCAACGTGCAGCAAGTTTTATTGCATAACTTGAAAAAACATGTTTTTAGGTCTCGCTTAGGTGCAACATTGGAGAATTTTCTAATGATTTTGAGGCATTTATTTGTGCATTTTGTTTTCTTAGTTGGATTTGTAAATAAAGACAACCAGTTTTTGCTGATTACAGAAAGATAATGCCTAAAGGGTACTGGAACAGTAAGAAGAAGTAATATGCTTACAAATGAGTGCAAATAGTGTAGGATTTGATGACCCGAAGTACTTTTAAACAATTGTTAAAAAACCTGTATAATATAGTCTTAAATTTGCATATTTTAGATGTGGCTAAATGTCATTAGGCAAAGTTGAACTCGAGTGAGTTGGCCAGCAGTCTTCTCCCACTCCAGTACATGATGTACGGGGCGGCCCTTGGGGAATTGCAGGGCTCCTTGTGTGCTCTTTTGCTGGTGTTGCATTGCATTGTGGCTTTGCTTGCTGATTTTAACGGATCAATTTTTGCCTTGCAAATCATTGGAGATACTTGCTCCCTCTCCCTTCTCCCTACTTGGTGGTTTCGTAAGTATTTTCTCTGGTAAGTATTCTCTTAGGTAAGTATCTCCACTGAATGAACGTGTGACGGTGCCGGATAGTCGCTTCTTTTGGGGTGGTTCTCGCTTCCAGGGTTGCCATGGATACCTGCTCTCTGCCTATTGCATTTGGCCCCCCCACTAACCTTTAAGGCACCTGCTCCCAAGCTCATCATTAGCGATGAGTTTAACTGCTAATTGTTGTCTAGCAATGAAATGCTGGGAATGGCGGTAAAATAAACAATTTCCTCATTCTAACTGCAATTTCGTTGTTAGGATGGATAGTAGCGTTGATGGTAAAAATATAAGGCAAAAGTTTTGTCGAGTCTGAAATCGAGTGGAATGCTTTTAGGGAGACTGCCTCTTAATTTTTTTGGAAATGGACAAATAATTTGTTAAATTTGTTACATTATTGCTAAAATTGTTTGTACTTTGTCAATGGCAAATACTTGGAAATGATTTGCAAAGAACAATCACTGACGTCTCAGTGAGTAAAGTCAGTGATAGTACCAAATTGGTCAGCACCAGCTAGTTATGGAGAATTAGCCCAGGGATTAATATTACAGCCAATCAGAAATGAAGATTTAGAATGCATAACTATTAGTATTACTTTTCCAGTAACATTTTTAATTACATTTTTCTGTCACAGTAACATTCACTGCCATCATTCAAACTGCAACTCAAAATCTTTGGAAACATTAACTTCTGTTGACTTACTAAGCTGGAGCCGAAACCAATTGTGGAATTGCACGCATTTTAGGGATTCTACTGATGAACAGCTGTGACACGTAGATATATATATTTTTAGCAACTACTATAATTTGCAGTCTGTCCACTTTGAATAAATATTATAATTACAGCGGCATGTGCCTTTTCAAACATAACAGTGGAATGCACCACATTAGAGTTACAATCCAACTTAAGTTATAAATATGGCGTGTGACAAAAGCCTACTGTTCATAAATAAAATTCTCATATTAGCTGAAGGACACGTATCAAGGTAAAGTGATAAGCTTAAGCTTATACGTACATTTTTCAAAAGGGTCTTCTGTATTTGTAGAAAACTCAATACCTCCCAAAATTGCAACACTAAACAGGTAAAGACGAATTACAATGTCCTTACCTTCTCTTGCTAAATAGAGTTCCTTAAACTTTGCTCTTCTTTGTCCAAATTCAATTTCGCTTTGTTCTTTATATTTTAAAAACTGCTGCTCTCTTTGCCTCAGACTTCTAATTTCTTCCCTGAGGGAAGAAAGGTCTGTGACAACACAAAAAACAATATTAGTACAAAGTGCTTGCACTTTGAACATAAGGTAAATAAACTTGAAAATATTAAGACGAGTGTACCATTCGGGAAATCCTCCGCATTACTGTTCAGTTCCTCCATGTCTTATTGTTGCTATTTATTATGGCGAGGCCGCCATCTTGTCTTGAAAAGCCTCGATTTCAGGAGCTATTTTGAACTTACCCCGGTGGTATTGGGGAAGAGACCAGAACGTTAGGCTTACATGATGTACCAAGCACAGAATCGTTTGCGCTCCTTGATGTATTTCTTCATCGCTTTTTGGAGAACTATAAATATGAGGGAAGGTTAAACTCATGGCTTGTACTGATTCTCCTCGTAATCTTACCCAAAAGAGGCATTTTAGCACACTGTGTATCGATCACTTTATTAGTCTCTTCATAACAGTCACAATTATTATGTTATGCCCAGCTGTTTGCTTGAGCAAATCAAGCCAGCTGCAAGTGTGATATTTTGCAAGATACTGATCAAGAGCAAAACAAAAACGAGCGACATGTACTAGACCAGAACGATTGACGTCAAGAGTAAATACTACAACTTGTGAGTCAGCGAAATTCAACACAAAAACTAGACAATTTGTTGCAAGTAGAGTAGCAAGTTAGTTGAGGTACGTTGACTCTCTTCAATTCTTGCGTGTCTGAACATTATTAGTTTTAATTAAGCTTAAGTTTTGATTAATATCGGCGTTAGAAATCATCTGATTTTGATGTAAGTGTTTTTATTTTGATTGAGTGATATATTGCATTGATAGGCTGTCTTTCATAGCTATCTGAGGCCTTACTGTACTTGGTAGGATTACGTACTCAAGATTGCATTGGCCAGGATCAATATTGTGACTATTATTTTTTTTAAAAAATTGTGACATCTAAAGTGAAGTCTTTCCTGTACTAAGTGATTAAAATGGCAGCAAAAATTTAAAACGGCAATTTCTCGTTCAAATTTTTTTTCACAAATTTTTATTCATCTAGCATAAGTTTATTTATTTTGCAAAGTTCTTTTCAAAAAACGTTTTTCATTTTTGTTGTTATTTTGGCAGATTAATATAACATTGTTTTAATTTTGTATAGCAAAGGAAATTAAAAGTTGAGAGCCACATATAGTAACCATTGTTAGAAATATCTCCAATATAATGTGGCCTTTAACTTTTTACGTTACCATTTTTTAGGTGCAGCAGAGGAGCAGAAATGTGCATTATTTTTCTGTATTTCTGTGATAATCCAACTCCTGATGGGTATCGTCTAATCATAGCTTCAAACAGAGATGAATTTTATTCAAGACCAACTGCCTTTGCAAAGTTTTGGAGCAAAAATCCCAGTGTTATTGCAGGTTGGACCCTTTTTTCTCATTTTCTGTTTTTGCTTTTGTAATGACTGAATCATTTGCATTTGTAACTCTCAAAATTAGAGCACATGAGGAGCTAAGGAATCGTTCGTCAAGACATGGTTCGTACTGTCTGGGAAAAAGTATTGAATTTTACTAGTCGTCTTGAAAAGTTCTTGAATTCGGTTTAAGTCCTTGAAAAGTCCGCAATTTCTTTATTAGGCATTGAAAAGTCCTTGAAATTCACAACCTTGTCTTTGCCAGACACCTTTTTCTGTTAACTTAGATTGTTTTGCCGGGGAAAATTTGGCTCATCCTCCACATACATGTAAGAACCTGTAATAGTCACAGGTAATGTAATAATTTTAAACATTTTTGTGCATGAACAATATTTTATTTCTGTTTCTTTACTTCAAATGCTGTTTCTGTACTACCTCAGATGCAATATTATTTCAAGTCGTACCCAGTCATTTTGCAAAGTCTTGTTGCGGAAAGTAGTACGCATAAAAATGTGATCACCAATGGCCGAAGAAGTGAAAATGATAAATGACTCCATGATATGTTTTAGGTAATAGGGTGATGTACAAGAGGGTTAAAGAATGCTGATTAACTATATAAATGTTGTAGTCCTTGAAAACTGTAATTTGTCCTTGAAAAATCTTTGAAAAGTGCTGGAAATTTTTTTTTTTTGAAGTTGTGAGAACCATGGCCAGATGAAAGGAAATGGAAACTGTTATTTGTCCTGAAAAATCCTTGAAAAGCCCTTGAAATTTGTCTTTTGAAGTTGTATGCACCATGGCAAGATAAAAGGAGAGAAGAAAAGAGAAAGGCTGTAGATATTTGGGTCAAATTTTCTACAATTTCACATGTTAATTGGCCTTAAAATGCAAAGTTAATAGATTAAATACCATTAGAAATTAAAGTGATTGCTATTCCATTTTGTTCACGCATTTGCCTCAGAGGATTTTTGTTACAAAATAGACCATTTGAAGCTATATTACTCAAGCAGTTTCTTAACTATCAACTGTAACCACCTCGATGCTTGTTTGGGCTGGTACTTTATTCCTGGTGCAGACAAATACAAAACCAAAATTTGAAGATAGTATTCACATGAAGCAGTGTCACTGCAGGCTTCTCTAAAGTCATCCTTTATTAATTGTTCCTTTTTCCACCTTTCTTCATTTCTCTTTCTTTAATCTTGTGTTTTTGTCATGCTGGGCTTTTATTAGGCTTCATTCCTGTTGGAAACCTTTGTTACACAAAGGCCAGGCATCCTATTTTTTTTATCTTGTTGTAAGTACAGGCAGCAGGTAGATGTAGTTTGTGGAAAAAGATGTTCATGTAAAATTTCCTGTTCATTGTTTGCAAGGAGGTATTTTCACCTCCTCTGGCAAAGACATTTAGAAATAAAAATTCCAAATTCAGAGCAATTAAATGGCAATTTGATAACAAAATGAATATTTTAGTCTGAATCACTTGGACTTCATCAGTGTTGTGCAGGCTGTGCAGAGGTTTCATTAAAAAGTTCAGTAGCCAGCTGGTTGGAAAAGAGTGTCTACTTGTATCAACAAGGGGCCATTAGTCCCCTTTTTCTAGGGGGGTTTGCAGGCATGTTTCCTCAGAATCTTTTGAAATTCAAAGCCCTAAAATTCGATTTCTAGCATTCTGGTTCTGGTGTTGTTTATTAAAAAAAATGTAGCTTTCATTCCAGTTTCGATTTATGAGCTACACGAACAATGCAAAGGAAAATTATGCAGTCTTCTCATGATTCCATGATGCAATAATTTGCGGTCTTTTGCGTGTAACGTGGCCATTTTGGATGCATCATGAGTGTTGGAGATGATTTTTCAACCTTTCGTAAGTGCTTGTTTGATGGCTTGAAGTGAGTTTGTTTTGTTTCATTTTTTTTAATGGCACTGAATTGATATACTGAGCAAATTTTCCAAGCTATTAATGTGTAATTAATTGCCTTATTTTCACGACAAAGAGAGCTGAATTTTAATGATGAAGGTATTATCTTCACTATCCTGGTCAGGTGCTTCAAGAAATGTGTTACTTTCCTACTACAATATTCAAGATTCTGTGAAACCAAAATAATTTTGGAAGATGGGAAGGGATATAATTTCAAGGAATGACAATGTACGTCGTTGTACCTCAACTCAAAAATCGACAAATCGAAATTGGACATGGCTGTTTTTACCCATTGGCAAATGACGGTGCGACTTCGCAAAGTTGTCACTTTTTCAGCACAGACCCACCCACGCAACAAAATGTAGAGTGAAAAATATCCATAAAAATTAGGCTTAAAAAATTATCTCTGTATGTAACTAGAATAATCAGTAAAACATATTTCAAATAAAATTCAGTAGCTGTATATCGAAAAGTGCCCAAAAACTCACCGAAATCTCTCGGAGAAGTGATGCGTGTAATGTCAGTAGCATAAAAGTGAACTTGGATGTTTTTCTCTCATGATCATGTTTTAAGCCAATGTTATGAATGGCCAAACACAAAACAATAGACAGAGAAATAATTTCTTGAAACATTTTATTGAAAAAAAAATACTCTAGTTAATCCTTAAAAGTAATTCGTGGAACACTAACTAGATCATGGATCTGTTCATGCAAGTGAAAATTCGCTGAGCACAGGGCAAAATTCAACACAAAATCATGCCATCTCCAATCAGGGCACATTTTGTAGTTTTTTCTTTAAACACTGATATCAAAATGAATTAAACGTCTATGACACATTCATAAATACATAAATTTCATTTTAAAAAAGTAATTTCCTTGATCATAGAGTAAAAAATGTACCTCAAAATTCTCCATAACGTAGCTGCCTTGGTTGCATTTCAAAACAGGTCTCGCATTTCAAAACAGTGCTCAACCTTGAAGAAAACAAGGTTGAATTCCTTGAAGAACAATTTCATAATAAAAGCTTTCCTTTGCCCACAAAAAGAAAACTGAGCTTTCTTCTGAACTTTCTCCATAACCTGTACAATGAATAGAAATCTCACGCTGTCGAGTTTATCCTAAATTCGCCTGTTTGTCGGTATTAAACATATAAAGCTTAAGCTTAAGCTTACTAACACCTCTCCACCAAAGAACTGACAAAAATGAAATGGCCGAAGACCACATTCAGGGGTAAAAATTGCAGAGAAAGTACTGTAAAGTCCAACTTGGTATTCAAATCTCAAGAGTGCAAATAAATCATGTCTGTATCTTCCCTGCAGATGGGAGCTTGATGGAGTTGTTTACTCAGTACATCCATCTTCAAAGTGATGATGTCACAAACCAATTCGATAATATATGTTGGTGCAATGCATCATGGGAGGACTGCATAATCCTCCTTTGAACAATTCCTAGACCCTATGAACAAATGATGAAAACTAAATTATTTACTTTGCATGTAAACAAATTCTGCGTAAACCTATAAGATAAACTTGTGAAAAATTGACTGAAATATAGCATTCACATGACTAAAGCATAGTGTAAAACCAGTTCATTTAGTTTTTATGATAGTTGTATTGTTTATGACATTATTTAAACTAGTTGCTTTTCAGTTCTTCTAGAAAAAAGAAGCCGACTTCTCTGTAGCCTGTTCACAGACCCTCTATTTTCTCTTAAAAGGCCGCCGAGTGTGTGTGATAAAAATAAAAACAGCGGGGAATTAAATGACCGCTAGCGCATGAGGGCAGGGGTGGGGGAAGAAGAAATTAGACAGTCTGTAGACATCTTTGAATACAACTACTGAAACTTGCTTTTCCCAAGAAAAGCAAATTGCCATTGGTTGAACTGAGATTATCCTGTCATCATTATGTCAACGACTCACTAGAAGTGTTAGTCAATGCCTGGACATGATCACTGCGACACTTACTATAGTCATTTGCCTAAATAAAACATAACTTTGATTGAAAGCACCGCTGACTTGTGAACTTGGGATGCAGTCATACTACAAACTTGTGCTGACCATGTCCTTTGTATCTTTGTGATTGGAATTTAGAAGATTGAAATTGGCTTCACAAGTGTTTGGCACAGTTACTCAAAGAAGAGCAGCTTTAGGCTGTTTTGGGTTTACTGGAGTAAAAGCATAATGGCGGTTCTTACCACGGGTTTTGGGAAAAGTTTAATTTACTTGTTGTTCGCAGCAGTGAAACTCAGTCTGTACCTTTACAGTAACAGGATGATTACCTAGAATTATCGACATATAAACAGAGCCCACATATCCTACAGTAATCTGAGAGGCCAATTTGTTTTGGCTTTGGACCTGTCTTAGCCGGCTTTTTCAGAGTTGAAGTAGACATGCTTCAACAAAAGTACTAACAAATCTGCAACTCTGGGTGTTATTGTTTTTGCACAAGCAATCTATATCTCCGATATCATTAGTCCAATTTAATGGGTATTTCGAACGTGGAAGTGATAATGATAAGGCATTGACATGGGGGAGGGACTTTTAAAATATTACAGATGTTTTTCATTTTTTCTTTCTTGCTCGTTGTTGCACTTGGCATTCCCTCTAGTGTGCTCGCCGATTATGAAAAAGAAAATAAAGCAACGTATGTGAACATGCTCACTTCTCTGAGCAAAGTAGCCAACTGTCAGTGCTTATTGAAAACCCTGGTTGTGTAACAGAAAAGTTATGAATCACCTGGAGAGTATTATATTAAATAGCTGTCTCAATGCAGATGAGGTACAAGTAATTTAAACAAAATATTTGTTTCGTTATTCATCATTTTGCTCCGAGCTTTGGAATTTTCCTTTCTAAATTTTCTGTTTAAGTTATGTTTTTTACGTGTAAGATTTTTTCCTCTTTGACAAAATCCTAAACATTTACATCGTAGGTTGGTTTAGAAGATCCCTTGAATCTGCTTCACAAGGTCCCTGTCAAAGTTATCCTTGTTTTGTACATAGGGCCACTTAGAGTAGTTAAAGTTTGAAAGAGCGTGAGATAACTACTGATATTTTGGGACAACACCACTAGTTTTCTTCACCATACGTCATCTAAGGAAACAACAATGATAATAATAAATTACATTTTTTGGATTTCATGTTGCATTGCCTCAGTGCATTTACAGAAATAAAAATCTATCATGGCCTTAGATTACAATAAATAAATAAATAAAAAAAAAGATATACTATAATGCTAAAAATGGTAATAAATGATATAAAGAAATGCTGTAAGAATGCGTCCTGAAAGAGATGGGTCTGGAGTTTCCTTTTATAAGAATCTAAGGAACTGTCCGGTTGTTCCAAAGTTTAGGAGCAGCAACTGAAAAGAGCTCAGTCCTCATAGGTGGAAGTGAAGGATTTGGGGACAACTAGAAAGCCTTGAGTTGCAGAATGCAAGGATTGTGTGGGACATAAGTTTCTAGCAACTGAGTCACTCAGATATTCCGGAGCGCAGCCATTGATGATTTTTATTTAAGCCATTATTCTGTCTTCAACAGGGAGCTTTTGCAGTTTTTGTGGTGATGGAGTTATGTGGTCTTGGGGTTACATTTCATAACTGATCTTGCTGCAGAGTTCTGTTGGCGCTGTAATTTGCTAATCTCCTCAAGTAGCAATCCATACAGTAAACTATTGCAATAGAGAGTCTAGCTTTGATGTAATTAAGGTGTGAACTAGCCTGGTCAAGATATTTCCTAACTCTGCTGATGTTTCTTAGAGCAAGAGAGGTGGAGCAACATTGCTAGACATATATAGCAAGATGATCGTCAAAAACTACTCCGAGATTTCACGCTTCGTAACTTGTAGATTCCACATGCTGACTTATGTTAATACCAGCTAGTGGAGGCACACTTATAAACCTAGAATGAAAATAGACAATCTCAGTTTCAGATTTACAGCAAAGTTTGTTAGCTACAAAAAATGCGCGAATATCAGAAATACCATGTTTAAGTTTAGCTGAGCCCGTGTGTCTGCTATTTTATCTGGCTTTACAATGACATAGCGTTGTAAGTTGTCAGCATACGTCATGCAATCAAGTTCATGGGACTTATTTACATTCTCCAGAAATTCCAAACTGGAATATAAGGTGAAGCAAATGTCCCTTGCGGCATGACTGGGTACCAGTCAGATGTAAACAGTTCTAGATAAATTTAGTGGCATCATCAGCTTGAAATTTCTGCTGTTCGTGAGACATCATTTTTTGGGGACATTTTTGGTGGCATTGCAAAATTCCAACTGTTTTCTTGTGGAGTTATAGGGTAGTTAAAACCAAGTCTGAAGGTTTAATGATTTCTACCTCACTTTGAACAGGTATGGATCTGGAAGCGGGCAGAGAAGGTGGTACCTGGCTTGGGATGACCAAAGATGGAAAATTTGCAGCCATCACAAACTATAGACAAGCACCAAAGTTCACTGATCCTAATGCAACTGGAAGAGGACATCTTGTACCAGATTTTTTAGAGGGTGATGGCAATGTAAGAAAATACCTGGAGAATGTTAGTAGCAATGCTGACAGGTACAATGGTTTTAATCTTTTGGCCGGAATGTTGTCCAAAGGTGGAGACTCCAAAGTTGGATGGTATTGTAATGTTGAGGAGAAAGCTGTTAAGATGTTGAGTCCTGGAATTCATGTCTTGTCAAATAAAGTACTTAACTGTTCCTGGCCAAAGATGGTTTATGGACGAAAAAGATTTGCTGATATATTAGGCCAAGTTTACACTAAACAGGAACTTATTGATAAGCTGATTGGTCTTCTGACTGTGCGGGACAGGTTAGTTTAATTCAGATTAATGTGATATTTGGTGCAATGCTGTGAACAAAGCTATGATTCACAGTTCAAAGCTTCACAGCTCAAAGCCTTGCATTAGGAGGTTAACGATATTGCTATCAATGAGAGGATGATCTTTAAATCTTCATATTAGGTTCATTTCAAGATTATGTTCTTTCTGAAGAGAAATAGTATTTGTTTTGAATTTGGCCATTAAGGTGAATAAAACCAACTGCTCCTCTATTTGACCGTTCTTTATTTCACAACTTTCTTTTCTTCCACAAGAGCGACACAACACAAGTCACTTTCTGTTGATTTTGATGGAGTAGTCATGCCAATCATGTGAGGATGCAAGCCGCCATGTGATTTGTCTTTTCTAATCTTGGCAAGATGAATTTCCTTCGCCTCTGAAAACCATGCTAAATCTAAGAATTGAAACATCTAGATGGAAATTTGCACTGGGAGAATGGTGTTAAAAAATGTTCATGCCATAAAGTAAGCAAATGTGTATGAAATGGACCAAAGGTTATTTCAATTTATTTTAGCCAGAGATGATTGCTGTTAACAATATGGTGGCCACAAAAACATCCATTCGACCCTTCCAAAGACAAGATATTTTAAAACAATGAAACAAATAACTGTTGTGTGATGTTGGCAGGGTAAAGCAAAAGTCTAGCTAGTTTAAAATACTCCTATTCTCAAATGGCTGTTCATAACTTATTCGGACACCTGCTGGCAACTAGCCTTGAATTTCTGGTCACCAGCTCTCAATGTTATTTCCAGGCACGTTGGTGATAATTTTGAACCCCATTGGTTTATGCCACATATGAATGAGATTTCTTATTTATTTACAAAATGACTTTTTATAGTGAAGGGTATGAAATTGCATCAAGATATAGTGTCTAAAAAGCCCTCTCAGTGTCATATATGTATGTGCTATCTACAGCATATGGCAAAGTGATATGTATGTTGTGGTAGCTGGCAGTTAAAAACAATGCTGACAGATTTTTATTCCATACATTTTTAGATCTTTCACTTGTGGTGATGACACCAGTTTCATTGGTCCCCAAGATGAAGGATGTAACATGAATATGGTCAATGCTTGCCGAGCAATCTTTGTCAACTGCAAGGAAATCAAATATGGAACAAGGTACATTTGTACACAGTAGTCTAAAATTACATTGTTTTGAATATATTGTAAAGCTTGTGGACTTTTGGTAATGTTTATTTAACTGGTTCAATAACAGTAAAGTACTAAATAGGACATTATTAACACTGTTGATTAAGTTCATGAGGTTAAAGCAATTTATGGAGGATGGGGAAAGAGGGACCTTTTAATTATGGTAGATTAAAAAATAAAATAAAATATATTCTGTATTATTCTCTCCCCATTAATTAAGAGGGTCCACATTAATAGGTTTGGCTGGATGCAGGATTTGGTCATTTTTTGGTGGTGATAATACAGATGTAAGCTGAAGCAGGAAGTTGGAATTTTAATGATCGGGAGTGGGATTTCCAGTTTTTATGGGTCTGGGTTGCAAGAATTATAAGGGAAAAGTGTATAGCAGGATATGGGAATTTTTTGTTGTCTTGCTTGCCCTAATTTAAAGATTTGACTGAAACCTAAAACTGCAAAAAAGTCTTTGGTGTTTTCCAAGAATTTTCTTCTAAGCAATCTTTTTGCTTCACCTTTGATAAAGCCTCTTTTTGCTTCCTGGAGGGTGACTCATGGTAAAGTATGTATGTTGAAAGGACTGTTGGTGGGCTTGTAGTGAGTTTTTCTTTGAATCTTTCTCCTTTGAAAACCAGGGAAAGTTGTGTTTAGATATTATGACTGGGAATTTTGTGGCTGCAGATGGAATGCACTAGCTTGCAGACCATATACACAGTGTATAGATACTAATCTTCTTAGTCCCAAAGGGGGAAAATGTCATTAAATGCTACACCTGTACATTTCCATTATCTTGACTCAGTATCACTTTGTTTGTTTTTCAAAAAAGCAGGACTCAAAATAACGAAGCTAACAAATTTTTTTGGAACTGATATGTGAACAAAACAACAAGCAAAAACAGAAAAAAATGCTACAGTTGCTTGTAGCCATGTTTAGAAACTTCAACATCAAAGCTCCCCCAGACCCCATTGCATAAAATGAGTATTTAACAATGAAACTTGCAAAAACGTTTGTGCAGGATCAGGATTTAATTAGATGTAAGCGTCTCGTGTATGGAAACTCTGTGTGCACTTATTTACAAGAATCGTCAAACATTTCCAGAAAAGAAACTGCTAAAATTTTCACGAAATGGGTTCCAAAAAAACACACTTCTAGCTTCATACGGAAGAGGGTTGAAATGCACGCTGCATATATTGGTTGTGCTCAGTAGCCAATAGGAAAGCAGGAATTTTTAATCGTAGTAATGTTCAAGGTCAAAGCTCAGTGGAAAGAACGGTTGTAATGTTCTCGTCTTGACAAAGAACAATTAAAAGTTGCTCTTGGTAAAGCAACTAAGCACAAAGCTGACAAAGCAACTCATGAGGTTCACATGGAGAACCAAAACCATGGTCCAATGCCTGATCACAAAGTGGCGAATAACAGAACAGTCCAAAGACTGAAAGTGAAGAATGATCATCGCAGTAAATTTTCCAATTTACGCAATTGGAAAGAAGAAGCCTGAAAAAAAAGTCAGGGCTTCAACAGGATTCGAACCTGTGACCTCCGCGTTACCGGTGCGTTGCTCTACCAACTGAGCTATGAAACCACACATTGGGAGCGAGGTCAATTTATTGATTTCATATATCTCCCATGAGGAGTGAAATGATGTGAAGTATATATGAAATAATTCATTTTTGAACTGCGGTTGTAGATGAAAGTGAAGAATGATCATTGCAGTAAATTTTCCAATTTAAGCAATTGGAAAGAGGTCACGGGTTTGAATCCCGTTGAAGCCCTGATTTTTTTCTCAGGCTTCTTCTTTCCAATTGCTTAAATTGGAAAATTTACTGCGATGATCATCCTTGTCTTTCCTGGATGGTTAAAGTGGCATTTTGTTGAGTTTTGCAATTGTAGGTACTATCCACTAAAGAAGAATTAAAAGCTGGCTACAAACAAATGGAATCTCCACGCGCCTTCACGCAAAGCGCTATAAATTCGGTAACGTGCGCTCTTGCTACTTGCTTGCTGGCTTCACAAAACCCTCTGCAACAGCACAATAATCACTCGCTCATCAACAAACACTGTTGGCCTTTACGCTTCGATATGACTGCAAACTATCAGGTCTAATACGCCACGTGAATATTCAAGCTTAGCGACCGCGTCCGCACGACAATGCAACACTTGCTATGGGAGGGATGGTACCATTGCTTCTAGGTCAATCGACACTGAGCGATGGTCCCCTGTGTTAGTTTTGGCCAGAAAACAAAAGGCGATCGTGCGACTGTCCGTAAGTTTTCAACGGGGCGGCCTTGGTTTTCAAGTTTGAATTCTTCTAACGTTCGCTGTCACAGCTGCTGTCACATTGTTCGTCCAGCCGCTTGCATAGGTTCTTGACTCTACAATTTGTTGTCCAAACTGGTGAGGGAGGCAAGGATTTTCCGCCCAGGAAAAAGGCAAAATCTGGCCTCGGCTATACAGCTGAATAGAAGATACAGCTGAAGATATGGTAAAGTAAAATTTATGTGCGCGATCTTTTATTATTATTATTATTATTATTATTTTCAAAACTCGGAGGCACCCAACGATGATTTCCTCCTAAATGCATTGAAAACACATTTAAGGCTGTCCAGAGTACTTTCAAATGCATTCTAAGCGGCACTAATACATAAATTTAGTCAGGAGGGCTAAAAGTGAAGCTCTTCATAATATTTATAGTTTGCCTGTGTGCAAACGTCTTCTATTTCCAAGGAAATAGGAGATGTCTGCACGCAGGCAATTTATAGTTTGCTCATACTAAACATAAAATCGTCTAATGTTAAGCGGAGAAGGCAACGAGACAGGGGCACCCAATGACTGTTTCCTCAAATACATTGAAAATGCTTTTTAGCTATTCATAAAGTACTTTTAGCTCTATATAAATGCATTCCAAGTGTTGCTGTCAAATTTGTATCTCAATGTTCGGCCATTCTAGGAAAACTTGTGTCTTTTAGAAATTATGAGGAAATCAGTATTATTTTCCTGAAAATTTTAGATGCAATTTAACGTATTACCAAGTAGATAATTTTTCAGATTCCTTCTTTCATCACATTTTTGAATCCAAAAATTTTAGGATTCCTTTTTACTCCCTACAAAAAATAGCCAAACCTGGGGAGTGAAATGTGGAAAATTAAACTTTAGAAAATCGTAGGGAATTTATTAGCAAGATTAGATGAGCTTCGAAAATTGTACATGAATGGAATGGTCATCTAAAAATTTTTAGCCAAGTGAAAGAAAATTCTAGGCACAATTTGCTTCTCCAAACAGATATTTTACAGAAAACAGTTGTTGGATGCCCTTGACCAGAACTGTGAAAAACAACAATAGGTCTAATTGCAGCACACTTTCTTGTTCATTTTCTTGCCGTTGATTTGCATGACTGCAATGTGAAACGTCCAGCAAACTGTGTGGTACATGTACTTGTCTGTACATGTTCTCTGTGAACATGTTCTTGTTCACATTTTCCACTGCCGCTTATTTTTTTTAGCTCCACAATAAAATTTGTATCTGTTCGGTGATCCTAGGGTAAATTGGATCTTTTTGAAAATTACGAGGGTAGCCTGCGTAGCAGGCGTCGAAAGGGGTAGGGGATAGGGGATAGGGAGGAAGGCTATTACGAGGGCTTCAATATTATTTTCCCGATTGATTGACCTAGAAGCAATAGTACCATCCCTTCCATAGCAAGTGTTGCATTGTTGCGCGGACGAGGTTGCTAAGCTTGAATATTCACGTCGCGTATTAAACCTGGTAGTTTGTGGTCATATCGAAGTGTAAAGGTCAACAGTGTTTGTTGATGAGCAAGCGATTATTGTGCAGTTGCAATGGGTTTTGTGGAGCCAATGAGCAAGAAGCAGGAGCACACGTTACCTGCAGACTAGCTGATGGCAATTTGGAGCGGATTCGTTGATTATTCTCGAATTTATAGCGCTTCGCGTGAAGGCGCGTGGAGATGGTCCGTTTGTTTTGTAGCCAGCCTTTAAAAATATTCTTCTTTAGTGGATAGTACCTACAATTGCAAAACTCAACAAAATGGCACTTTAACTGGCCAGGAAAGACAAGGATACGTTCAGTTAAAGGTATCCTAGCTTTGTTTTGTTATATTTTGACTTTTGGACTATTTTAGTTCATGGGAGTTTTGACGACTCATCCTATTTTGTCCATGTGAATATTAACATATTCATTTGACACATACTACGTCTGGGCCACCCGTGGTAAAACTGGCTAAAATCACATTTTCTCAGTCAAAATGTAGAACCTTCCAGAGCATAATCTACCCAGCAGAGGAAAAAACGTATTGTAACAAGCAGCATGTTGGCCTTAGGTAAAAGTCTTGTAGGTCTGTTGCCCTCTTTTATTAGTATTATTAACCCTAACAAATTCAGTGAAGGTGGGAATTTGGTGGGATTTGAGAACCCTATTGTTGACCATCACAGTGGGCTTTCCAGGGATAAATAAATGAAACAAAATTGATCATTCAAATGGAACTGTTGGAAGGAGGCAAGTCAGTTGGTTGCCAAGGTTTTGAATTCAGGACTACTCAGAACAAATCCAGCCATTAGACGTCAGGGTGAGACTTGAACTGGGTGCCCTGTGTTCTATAGCGGTGCATGGGTCTAAAATACAGGTCACTTTTCCACAAGTTTGAGTACAGGTCACCATGATAAAGATAAATGAATAGCATTAAAAGTGTCTCCTAGCTCTATTAGATTGAGGGGAATCTGCGTGGTTTGGTAATTTATCAATGAAGCAGTGACCTGTACCATTGACCTGTGGAATGTGACTGACCTGTACTCTAGACCCAACTGTTTTATAGTAACTGCATGGCCAACATGTTGCCTCTGCACATACATTTATCGGTTAAAGCATAATTCTTGGGTGTCATTTTAGGACAAACACTGTGGTGTTGGTAGATGCTGTTGGTCATGTCACATATGTGGAACGTTCTATGGAAGATGGTGCTACTGATCCAGATAAGGCTGAGTGGAGACTGGCAACCCATGAATTTGATATCCAGGAAAAAAATGACTGTACAGGAACAGGGTTTTTACTGGATACAACAGCTAAGGAAAACATTCCAAAGAAATTGGTAGAAAACATTACTAATTCCAAAGCAGCTGCAAGGGATGATCAAGAGCACTTTAGAAAAGCTGCAAAGAAGAGGCCATTAACAAATGGATGCAGCAGATCAGCGATGGAACCAGCAGATAAAGTTACTATGCAGGAGAAAAAAGAATGAATATAATTTATAGTGGTTGTTGAAAATATATTATTGAAGTAAAGTTTGCCTTTATATTTAAAAAGATGTTATAACTGATATGATGGTTATTAAGATAAAGTTTTAAAAGAAAGGACTGTGGTGCAAAAATATATATACAGTATTTAAATTAGTAATATTTTGGGAACTGTTTTATTGCCACAATGATTACGGTTGATGTTTTCTCTTTTTATTGTTATGGATCTTAGCATCTAAAGATAAGACAATTCTCTGTGTGAGTTTATAGAGATGGCTCCATTAAAGCATCCCTTGGAGAAAGTGCAAAATGTCTTTGGTGTTTACTTTGTCCAGAAAAATTATGTCTGATTACAGTTAACATTTTAATCACTGCCTATTTTCAAACCAAGCTAAAAAAGGGAGGATGGCTAAGAGTCAATGTTTTATGTGTCAGGATTATCAACCTATAAAGACCCGGCACATTGTCAGAAAGAGCACACCAAGCTACCGGTATACAAATCTTCATTATTGAACAAGATAAAGCTATTTAAAAACTTGATTTTACTACACAGTGAACAGACGTTTTTTATTTCTTCCTAAATTTTTTAGTTTTAAATACCTGTTATTGTTCAATGTTAGCCTCACTGATGAATACCAAATATGAGGTATTTAATATAAATCTGAGTTTCCTCTTTGTAGGCAGGGGTAAGTGGGTGTTGTCTCATGCTTAGACCGCTTTGGTTTGTTGTTAGGCATCAAGGGACTGTTATTCGTTACAAGAAGTCCAGATATGCTAACCCTAAGATACAGGAGACCTGTGGGAGCTAAGCTCACTAATAAAGGGTTCGCATGCACCTTGAATGTCCTCGAATTTTTAAATAAAAATTTAAAGTCCTGAAAGTCCCTGAAAGTTGCACTTGGTGCCGGAATTTCAATGCTAACTTATTTTATTAAAGGGAAATGCAAAGGAAAAGGAGCAATCACAGAAAGACCTTCAAGATAAAATTCCTTGCGTTGTGGAAGAACTAAAAAAGACATAGGCTCTTAAGATTTTTTTGGTACTGAAAAGAGTCCTTGAAAAATAGGAAATGTGTCCTTAAAAGTCCTCGAAAAGTCCTTGAATTTTAATGTTTGTTTTTATGGATTACTATAATCTTTATGAACCCTAGATCATTCTGCGGCAAAAAATTGACTTGGCTAAGAACTAAGATTTTCCATGGCTATATATCCAAAATTCAACTCCTCAACAATTTTTGTTTTTTTCTGACTGTAGCAATATTAACCCTTCTAGCCAGGGGAAGGAGTAAATGAGGCCAACAAAATAAACACAAATCCTTTCCTTTGAAATTTATTTGAATCTTGAAATCTTTGTGTTCACTTTTTTATATAATTATGATAAATCAAGTTAACAGTTTTTTACTACAGTCAAACCAGTGCTAACGGCCACTTTCGTTGTCCTGGTTGACAAAAAATCCGTACATGGACTCTTTTTTAAAACCTCCCTACAATGGCCACCTTTTTACAACGGCCACTTTCTTGTGTCCCTGGAAGGCGGCTGTTGTAGAGAGGTTCAACTGCATTATGAAGCCATACTAAGGATCTGTAACTCAATAAAAACCAAAATAGTGAGGTCATGATTACAATAGATTATTGGTGGTTAAGTTTAAAATCAATTATAATACAATTTGTCTTGGTTGAAAAATAAATAATTATTAAATGTGAGTAAATATTGAGTAATTGCATTATTTGCATTCTACATTTATGGTAGATTGCATAATGCAATTTATTCTATTGGACAGTGTAGTCCTTTAATTAATATCCATACCCCCATTGAAAAATAAGATGAACAAGAAAAGGTCTTTAAAACAAACCATATTAGTTGATATGATATTAAATAACAGCAGGCATTGAAGCACAAAATTTATTTAATTTCTGAATAAGCAGGGGAATGAAAAACTGTGAGGTATCAAGAGCAATATAAATTCAAGAAATTTAATAATCTTGATAGCTCGAAGAAGGAGAACTTTCAAGGTAGAGGCCAGGGAGGCATGGATACTTTCAGAGAATCATCATTAGACATGATATACATAAAAAAAGACTATTTTATTATAAGAAAATAAAATAAAACAAAACTTTACTAAAATCTTCAAATTCTAAGTTTGCTTATTATATATAATCTCTCCTGGTAAAAGGCTAAATATACAGGAAGGCTTGAGGATACAGGAAAAGTTTACATAAGCCAACTAACATTCCCTCGATATAATAAACAAAAGCTCTTATATCTGTACTTTACATTTTTATATTTAAATGCTATCTCTGTTGTTTCCTACTGCTGAGCACGTTTCAATAACATGCAAACTCCTGCCAATGTTTATACATGTTTTGCTTTCATCAATCATCCTTATCGACCTCTTAAAAGTCTCTAGGTTGTGATTGGTAGATTTTGCTCCATTATATTTGTTTGGTTTAGTTGTAACTATGATTGATGGAAGCAACGAACTTATCCTTTGGTTACAATTTGACTTTAGAGTTTGAATGTTATTGAAAAAACACAGTAAGATCAGTATTTATAAGCCTAATGCAATGTCATTAACATTGTGGAGTAAATACACTCATGACATTTACTGATAAAATATTGTAATAATTATTTTGAATAATATCCCTATAAGCAAATAAGCAATACCTTGGGTGCCAGAGGTCCTTTTTTTCTTTTGTAATTTCTGATGAAGCTAAACCCAAAAGCATGGTAGCCTGCAAAAACAGCCATTTCTCCTTGCTCCTCCCCACTGGGGATGTTTTGCGAGAAGGAACGTCTGTGACTCAGTGACAGAAATTCCATACTGATGATGTAAATCAATGTTTACATAATAAATTCGGTAGTCATGGGGTTCCAAATGCAAATGTGTTCAATTTCACATTTTTCCTGGTCGATTTTGGTAAAGTATGATGTTCATCTGTGAACAAGCTCCAGCAAAACTCAAATACTTCTTCAGAAGAATATATTCCACAAATATATATTGACTGTTTTGTTACAGGTTCATCTCGTTTACATTTGACCTTTGTGGCGTTTTGTCTGTCATTCATAGACAATAGCTAAAACAATGGAGCTACTCCTTCGTCCAATCAGCGCTTCCGACCAGATTCCAGAAAGATTTTACGCCATCAGTATGGAATTTCTGTCAATGAGTTGCAGATGTTCCTCCTCGTGAAACGTCCCCAGGGGCAAGGAGAAACCTCTGTTTTCGCAGGCTAAAAGCATGGTTCACTTCATCCTAGGGAGAAGAACCTCTGGAGCCATGGATATGCCAGGGTATATAACAAGGACATGTTTACAGTGACAATGACTTGTGTCCAGCTAGTACTAATAGCAGGCCTGCAGGGTCATACAATAACTTATGTGAAATGCATAGTTTAAACATTTTTCTAATATGGTCTATAGGTAAAAAATATAATAATATTATACATTGTTTGGATGTACAATCCCTTTCATAGTGTTTTAACAAAAGATTTCTTGACTATTAGTTTTTTTCAAGACTCACAGGGAAAGATTTAGTCTTGCTTAAACTACTCTGGAATATATATGTACCATATCTAAGGCACAAATTGAGACATAAGACATATTATTATTCATTCAAAATATTTTCCCGATTCTGATTGGCTAAAAGCACATGGATAATTCATCATAACCAGCTACTGATGACCAACTTTGGAAGAATTTTGTGATTAATGAACCAATGCCGTCAAAAGTGCAGCTTTTTAGCAGGTTAATGCCGGCACTGTGAACCAAGAAGACCTGGGGACGAGGTTGAGTTGTTTTTGTTGTGAAAACAAAAAAGGCAGACATTTCACTCATTTCAAGAGTAAGAACTAGGAGAAATAATAGCTAAAAACATGGCAAGAAAAGCAAGAAGACAACTTGGAGGGCGACATCTGCTATTTGGAGAATATTTGCTACCCTAAACGTGCACTATCAAAGATGAACTTAACATCGATGGTGGTAAGCATGTTTTAGCTACGTTTTTAAACTAGGAATTATTTTGAATGAATAATAAATGTTTTGAATGAATAATAAAACAATTATTGAATTCGGCTTTCGTAACTTATGAAGAATTATGGAGATCTCAAAGGGTGCTCCGCCGATAACACCCTCCTCGATCTCTCCTCCTGTGGGGAGCAAGGGATCTGATGGCGCAGTGGTGAGAGCACTCGCCTCCCACCAATGTGGCCCGGGTTCAAATCCCGGCGTCGACGCCATATGTGGGTTGAGTTTGTTGTTGGTTCTCTCCCTTGCTCTGAGAGGTTTTTCTCCGGGTACTCCGGTTTTCCCCTCTCCTCAAAAACCAACATTTCCAAATTCCAATTCAACCAGGAATCATGTAGACAAAGAACCACTTTGTGGATGTTTTACCTGCAAATTGTTATTTATTTATTTATATCTCCATAATTATTCATAAGATACTCAGCCTTAATTAATTAACAATTATTGTTAATTAAGTGTGTGTCAGTTTCTGGATAATTCTTTTGACGTAAATTAAAAAAAAAAATAAAAAATGCACAAATTCAAGTAAGGGGTAAAAAACAATCATAGTTAAAAAGACATTTCTTTCACTACAGTAAGCTAAGAACCTTTTAAAGCAGGATAAATGTCACATGCCTGACAGCCTTAGCTAAGACGCAAACTATTTGCTTGCATGAATGATGTCTCATTTAACACTTGCCTAATGTAAGATGTGATGTATTTTACCCTAGTATATAAATTGCTCTGGGCTGAGTTGTTCAAAGCTGGGTTAAGATAACCCATGGTTAGTGCGAGATTTGAATTCAGATTTGAAAGCTTGAAAAGCATTTCAGTTTTAATTCTTTTTGTCTACAAGTTGATGATTGGAAGCTCTAAAAATACCAGAGAAAATTATCCGAGAAAATGCTTTTGAACACAAGAAAAAGAAACCGAGGTTAAATTTAACCCCGGTTAATCGCTAATCGGCCTTCGAACAACTGGGCCCTGATGTGACTTAATTTGTTTGGTTGGGTTAACATAGCCTCCATAGTTGATGGTGGGGATGTCACGAAAACAAGGTCAAGAAAAAATCTGGGGAGGGGGTGGCAGTGGAAAAAGAAGGACAGAGAGCCTGTTAGCATATTTCAACAACTCTCCGCCACTTTTGTCAAGCCTGGATTTTGAATGTCAAACTGTCAAAACTTCAATTTGCTAGAATCCACCATTCTTATTAAAATTTATTGTGTGGGTATATATATACGCGTACCTCACATGACTTGAACTCCACAAATTTGAAAAAAATTGTGTTCCAGTTCCTCTACCTTCTCCGTTTTTCGCCAGGCCCCAGATGTTTTTTTGCATTAGTTTTCACTATCTCTGCAAATAAGCCATATTGTTGCTAATCAGATTGCCAGAGAACCTTCCTCCTGGCTACACATTTCTCTAAATTAATCACAGCAGCAGCAGCTGTACTATGTAAAGAAAAAGGTTAAAGGCACTGTGCAAAATTTATAATTTTGTGCCTTTTCTCTGCTTTATATCTGGCTGAATGTTTGGCTGTGAATGGGAGCGTATTCGTTCAATCTTTGTTTGACTTCCAAATGTATGATATTTGAGCATGCTCTTGACAAGTATCTGCAGAAACAATAAAGAGAAGCAGAGAAAAAATTAATTTCCCCTAATCCAACCAGACATATGCATACTACTTAAAAGAATAATAAATAGAACAAATATATACATTTTATATGTTACAGACTAATTATTTTACTCCTCAATTTAGGTTTATTTGATGATAAAGCCAAAAGGCCATTTCTAAGTTCCCAAA